GGATGGCGAGAAGGGGGATAGTTACGCGATTTGGGTTCTTTTTTATCTCCTCAGTGGGACGGAGGCTGCTGGGAGGCAAGAAAAAATGTTTGCCTCCTGGGGACTTAAGTGGTTAGAGGAAAGTTTGCTTAAATACACCACAATGTCATCCTTCCAGGAACCCTTAGCTGAGCGGGCGAGGGCAAAGAGTAATTCTTGAACCCATTTTCTGATGGAGTTGCAAGCTCCCCTCACTCTTCTCCCCACTCTTTGTTCCTCTTAACCATGTAGGATAAGAAAGGTTGCCAACCTTCAGGAAGCCAGCGGGCTTGTGAAGTTAACCAGGTCCCTAAAGCGTTGTCTGCACATACCAGCATCCTCCCCTCGTTCTACCTCTAGGCGCTGGATTCCAATTTGAGACAGGATCTCAAGTTAGCTCTAAGAGGGGGAGTAAATCTGAGAGGCTGAAGTCCATTTGTGTCAATGAAGTGTATGCAATGATCTCTTCAAAAACATTGCGTAGGTCACCTGCCACCACCAACATCGCCTACTCCAGGGGCTATTGGATATTGGGTGCAGGACTTCCCTAGGGACAGTGTTGGGAATGGTTAATGCTGCCCAGCCCTGCCACCCATTAATCCAGTTTTTCCTTACTTTTCCATACCCCCCCTCCTTTTCTAAACTTCTAAGACAATTGCTGCTGGTTTCACAGCTAATCAATGCCCACATGCTTCCTCCCACCCAAGGATCCTGAGGTCTTACATTAAAATGCACTCAATTCTGGAATCCAGTGAACATCCGTGGGCAGATGTAGTGTATGCAGGTGGGAGCAATGAATGCACTGAGAAGCAGGTCCAACCTGGCTTCATCATCAACTGGTTGTTACTTAAGGAGCCATGTTGTGAGCTTTCTTTAAAATGAGATAATCCTTCTTTTGGGCAAGCCTGATGTGAGGATCAAATAAGATCATATAAGCAAACACCGTTAAAAACTGCAGAATGCTATGTTGCTGTTAAGTACTATTCTATTAGGCTCCCCTGTCTTTGTCAGGGGGTAGTGGTGTTGGGGAGACTCCAGCTCTGGGCACTTAGGCAGAATGAACAGGGGAGGGAGGGCACATCTCTCTGAGCAGAACCTCTGCGACTGGGGTTGTTGAGAGGTTCTTTGCTAAGGGACTCACTCTTCCATTTGCTTTAGGAATCTAAAGTGGTGTGAAAAGTAGAAAAGAGAAATGTAGGGATATTCTGAAGAAAGCAAGTCTTCTGCAGGTGGAACCCATCTAGAGAAGGTGGTCAGAGGGGGGAAATAACCAGAAGACTGTATGATGTTAAGGGTTCTTTAGTATCTTGGAAATCATTTATGCACCCCACCCCAACTTATTTTATGGATTAGGAAGGTGAGGTCCACACAGGACATTTAGCCCAACAGTAGTGAGTGGTGGCCTCTGCTCACCTTCTATAGGGCTGCTGAAAAAACAATGGTCAAGAATGTGAGTTCTTGGATCCAAACCAACTTTGGGTAAGTTATTTAGTCTCTCTGTGCCTGTTTCCTCAGTTGTAAAATTAGGTTCATAATAGTATCAACCTCATGAAGTTGTGAGATTAACTTAGGCAACTATAAAGCTCTACTTATCACAATGTTTGGCATAGTTAGTACTCAATAAATGGTATTCCTTTATCCATCCTCTGGATTTCATTTTCCTTAATTATAAATTGAAAATGTTAGATCAATGATTCTTGAAAGCTTGCTCCCCCTCCCTAGTGGACAGCATGAGGATCACATGGGCTTTTATCAGATAACACATATTAACAGAGACCTATATTCTACTCTCTAAACAGTGGTTTTCAAGTATGATATTGCATAGAAATGACTAGGGATAGCTTGTCAAAATGCAGATTCCTGAGTCCCAGTGATTGACTCAGTGGACCTGGAGTTTGGCTCCAGGAATCCAAGTTTTAACATAATGGTGATGCAAATGATACAAAGAATCTGGGG